TCCTAGAACAAGTGACAGAATGGCTCATCATCTGTACTGAAAAAGATATCAAAGGAAATAATCCTCGTATTTTATTTATTTTTGCTTACTGAAATAGTCCGGAGATGGCTCTTCCTCTTGACCAGCAGGTGGCACTGTAAACATAGATTTGAAATCAGAAGTCCAAAGGCTTTTTTCTTTAATCCCTCAATGATGTCGAACACTTGAAATGATTGGTTTTAATTTTTTTTTAAAGTCACATTATTGACATTAGATACTCCTAAAATTCCAAAATCCCCCCAAATGTTGACTCAGTTACTTCATAGAAACAGCTTTTGAAGATGTTCTTGGTAAGCCTAACCGACAAGGACAGGGTTGCTCTCTAGAAGATCACTCTTGAGTACGTATTCACACACAGCACCCTACTCGGTCCCAGCAAGCCCAGCGCTTATTATCCCACTTCTCAAAGAGAAAACTGGGTCTCACACGATTCCATTCTTTACCCCAGCCACACACCTCAGTGACAAAAAAGAATCAAGCTTCAAAATCAGGCCCGGCTCTCAGGTGATGGACCGTGGCTATGTCGCTGGGTGAAAGCATTTCAAAAGCTGGGCTCCTCAGTGGACATCCAGGGAGACCGCCCTACAAGCAGGGCATTTAAAATGTTAATTCATTCACCTCAAAACTACACATCCCAGAAACTGTTTAAAACTAAAACAAGTCTGACCTTTTTTTCTCTCTGGGGAAAATTTAGGGTGAAAAGTGATATCCCAGAGTTAGCCACACTCCCACACTCTACAGGAACCATCAGAGGTCATTGGCTGAGGAAAGGGGACTCTCGAGCCATGAGCTGGACTGCCAGCAGTGAACGTGAGGAAAGCGATAGGCCATTTACTTATCTAGAATTTGACCTATTTGTCCTCGGATAACTTCCCGCACTATGAAATAGAAAAGTCAGTACTTTGCTCACTGGGATCCTATTCCGAGCTGTCAAAAGCAAATACAGAATATACATTTGGAGCATGTGTGTGGAGTAGGAGCACCATGCACTCTAGATCTGATACACAGATCCAAATGCAATGAATTCTTAAGGTTATCTAGTTTTTGTTTTTTAAAAGGGGTTATGAGACATTCCCCTTTTCTTTCTAAGGGCAGCTGTTACCTGTGTCGGAAGGCTAGCTGGCACTGTGGTCCCCCACTGTGAACTAAGCCATCACTTTTACTGAGAGAAGGGACACTGAGCACATGGACAGTGTTCCAGTCAGTTGCATAGTTTTTATTCCAGGCACTTAGGATGGGCAGTAGTGAGCTGGATGATTTCATGCTGTTCCTCTGGCAAAGGCTCTCCACAGTCACGCCTGAACATCGGTCCTCTGGCACCTGTGCCAGCTAAACTGTCCAGGTGACAATCTGGATTCACCCGGGAAGAAGTCTTTAACAAGGACTGTCTAGATCAGGTTGGCTTGCTGGCTCATGTCAGGAGTCAGGGGAAGCTGTTAATTCACCGAGCCAATTGCAGGGGCAACATTCCGTAGGCAGGGTCCCCGCAGTAGAAGAGAGGAGAGAGCTAGCTGAGCGTGAGCAAACAAGCAGGAGTCTCTTCTCTCTGCTGTTGATGATCTGCTCTGGGGATGATCTGACCAGCTGCTCTGACCTCCTTCACAGCACGGACTGTATCTCAGACGGAGACCTGAAATAAACCCAGGCTCCCCTAAGCTGCGGGTTGTCAAGGTATTGATCAGAGAAGCAGCAATAAAACTAGAACATCTTACCTCTTCTGTGGGAAATCAGGACAGAGTCAAGGAGAGAAAAGCACCCCAGGCTGTCCTGGGACAGGGACGGCGGTCTCATAAGCACTTTTGAAGATCCCACGAGTCCCTGGAGCAGGAGCACAGCTTCCCGCTCACTCCTTCCACTCAGTGTCTGCCCTCCATTGTCTGTATCTTCCTTCCCATTAACATCCTTTCTGGCATGGCAACCAACTAGAACTCACCTTCAAAGCACTGCTTTTGCTTCTCTGAGTAAGTAGATGTTAGCTTCCTGGAATTCCGGATGACAAATGGAATCACCAGACATCATCCTCCATTTGCCCTGAACAGCAGACCCTGGGATTTCTGTGTAGTTAACACACAGCCTAACTGCAAATATTAACGCATTTAGCCCAAACTATAAATCAAATTCTTCCTTTAAGCAAACATCAAAACCTTATACATCAGCTGGATCATGGGGTCTTCCCGTGTAAGTTTATCTGGAACTTCCTCCTATCTCCTTCTACTTCCTAATCAGTTGCGCTCTCTCTACAGGAAGTGGAGGCTGGATAAGGAGGAGAGGAAATGAGGCATCGAAGCTGGGTGAGAAATGCCTTTCCTGAAGAGCTATTCAAGAAACTAGATATCAAAAAACCAAACGATCCAACAAATAACTCCAATTAAAAAGTGGGGTATAGATCTAAACAGAGAGTTCTCAGTAGAGGAATCTCAAATGGTTGAGAAACACAGAAATGTCCCACATCCTTAGTCGGCAGGGAAATGAAAATCAAAACTACTCTGTGATTCCATCTTACACCTGTCAGAAAGGCTAAGATCAAAAACAAAATCGACAGCTCATTCTGGGGAAGATGTGGAACAAGGGGAACACCCCTCTGTTTCTATTGGGAGTGCAATCTTGTACAGCCACTATGAAAATCAATATGGCGGTTCCTCAGAAAAAAATGGAATTGATCTACCTCAAGACCCAGCTGTGGCACTCTTGAGTATATATCCAAAGGTCTCTTTATCGTACCACAAGAACACCTGCTTAACTCTGTTCATAGCACCAGAAACTGGAAACAACCTGGAAGGTCCCTCAACTGAAGAACGAATGAAGAAAATGTGGTACAGTTACACAATGGAGTATTAATTAGTTGTTTTGAAAAATGACATAATGAAATTTGTAGGCATATGTATGAAACTACGAAAAATAATCCAGAGTGAGGTAACCCAGACCCAGAAATACAAACATGGTGTATATTTACTTATATGTGGATATTAGCCACTAAGTAAACCATTAAGGCTCTCGTTAAGTAAGTGATAACCAAGCTATAATCCATAGAGAGAAGTTAGGGAAAGAGGTGGTGTCTGGGGTGTGTGTGCATGCTTCGGCCTGGAAAGTGGAAATAGAATAGATTATGAGGATAGACTGGGGGCAGTTGGAGATGGAAGTAGGAGGGGTCAGGTGGGGGGATGGGATGGAGGGAGAGAGTGTTGGGGATAGATGGCTGAAACTGGCGGCCAAAAAACAAACAAGCAGCCCCCTTACAACAATGTACAATGTTAGGACAGATGGTCACATGATGTAAACTGATCCCATTGCTGAGGACAACATCCACACAGCTCATTGAATGTAGAAAGGTCAAGCTGGCGTCTGCAAGGAACCTTCATCCCCACATTCTCGTCTCTTTGGTATGGGAAGGTACACTTCAGGCTATCAAAAGAGAAATGTGGACATCAACCCAGACACCTATGACCAACAATCTGTCCTGCCTGCAAGGTGGGCTGTGGTGGTGCAGAACTTGTGGGAGTGGCCAACCAAGGTCTGATCTAACTTGAGGCCTACTCCATGAGAGAAAAATCTATTTTCAATTAAAAAAAAAGAGAGAGAAATATTTTTTTCTTTTAAAACCTCCACACTTCTCTCTCAACTAAACCATCTTTGTTTTCTTAGACTCCCTCATGAAACCAAGATGGCTGCCAGAATTCCACACGTTCCATCCAGACATCACTCTATTGGGTAGATAAAATGGACCATTTTCTTTATATTTGTTGGTGTCTCATAATAAAAAGCTTTCCTAGATATTCCCTCATAATTAATTTACAAAAATTATTTCCTATGTGTATACTTGAATTAACACTAGAAGTAACCCCATGACTAAGTGAAAACAGATTTTGGTTTTCTTACCTCAGCACTATGGACATTTCAAGCTCTAAAATTTATTGGTGGGGAGCTTCTGCCCTCTGTCCAGTAGTTAACCAGTGAGGCCCCAGTGGCTTCCCACGCAAAATAGGCTATTGCCACGGCTCTTGGTTGTCCACTAGAACTAGACAGTGAAACCCTATTGCTGAAAATACCACGTGCAATGGTTCCAGGACATGGAGAATCAAGCTAGAATGGAACTGGAAGCTTTATCCCCAATAGCCCAGGAGAAAGCCCAGCTCATCCAAGACTTCCTGGTCCAGTTGCCAAGGTTCGAAGATGGACATTGCCATCCTACTAGAGGTGGAGGCATGGACATCATTGGGGAGCTGCCATGCCCAACTCTCAGGAACTTTACTGCAAGTCACTGAGACACAACCATCCTCTAAAACTAAATAAGAGAAACTCAGAAACTAAGTGCAAAACCAGCATATAACAATACCCAAAACAAACAAACAAACAAACAAGAGATTGCAAAGAATAACCAAATCATGAAAATAGTAAGATGTTTAAAGCAGTTTTATTTCTCTCTCCCTCTCTTCCCCCTCCTCAAAGAGAAAGAAAGCCTGATTTCGTTAGCTCTTTATTATGTTCCTGTAATCTGAGTCACCTAGAAGATTTTCTGCTTGCTTTGTGTCTAATCCCCAAAACTCGCTGACCTCCCTCTCCCACTGGGAACAATGGTGTACACACAGTTTCTACATTCATCCCTCCTGCCCCCCCCCCGTTTTCTTTCCTTTTTTCTTACAGTGTTGAAATCTAGCCAAATGTCCAATTACCTTGGAAAGAAAACGGTAGAGGAGAAAAAAAGCACGAGGCCTTTGGTGTCATTTCAAGAGGACATGCGATCTTACTTTAGAGCAAGGAGAGCGTTCTCCCTGCAAAGCATGAAAACTGAGGGGAAGCTAAGCTCTTTGGACCGCCCTGTGTTTGTCAGCACACAGGTGACAATGCTCCTGTTGCCATGCAGGTGAAGTTGTAGGCCGGGTATGTGAGTGTCTATAAATCCACACCCCTTTGAAACGGGAAACATCCTGAACGAGGTCGTTTCTAACAAGATCGCTGGGCAGCTCAGGTAAGCAAGCCAAACTTCCAGACCAGTTGGTGTTCAGTCTCTCAACCTCTGCTACATTTAAATGATCAATTCACCGTTTTGCTACTTAAAAGTGAGTCTCTTGGTTAAAAGTGGGACACATGAAATGAAACTATATTTTGCTGCTGCTACTGACCTGGTTTCCTGCACCGGCTTCATAATTTCACTCTCAATTCATATTAATAGTAGAATAAGTAAGAATTAACCTAAAATGACTTCTTAAAAAAAAATCTGGGTGCTGGCTATATTGCTTCCTTTTTTGTTTTGTTTTTTAAAATAACTTGTTTTTCATTTAATTTCATTTCATGTGCATGATGTCTTGCCTGCATGCATGTCTGTGTGAGGGTGTCCGACGTCCTGGAACTGGAGTTACAGACACTTGTGAACTGCCATGCTGGGAACTCAACTTGGGTTTTCAGGAACCCCAGCCAGTCCTCTTGTTGTTTTTATTGAGCTATGCATTTCAATCCGTTCCCTTCCTTCCTCCCCTCTCCCCTTCTACCTGCGACTCCTGCACTCCCCATTTACTAAGGAGATTTTAGTCTTTTTCTCCTTCCTATGTAGATCCATCTATGTCTCTCTTATGGTTTTGTTGTTGTTGTTGTTGTTGTCTAGGTTCTCTGAGATTGTGGACTGTAGGCTGCTTTTTCTTTGCTTTATGTCTAAAAGGCACTTATGAATGAGTACATATTATATTTGTTTTTCTGGGTCTGGGTTACCTCACTCAATATAGTTTTTTTTTCTAGATCCTCCTTTTGTATGCAAATGTCAAGACGTCATTGCTTTTTATCTCTGGGTAGTACTCCGTTGTGTATATGTACCACATTTTCTATCCATTCTTCGGTTGAAGGGCATCTAGGTTGTTTCCATGTTCTGGCTATTTATCACAAATAATGCTGCTATGAACATAGTTGAACAAATGTCCTTGTGGTATGGCAACCAGTACTCTTAACCATCTCTCTAGCCCGCAAAATTTTTATTTTAAAATATGGAAATGTTCAGTATTGAAGTAAATGGCTTATATTAATTACTTTTCAAAAGCACAAGCCCAGTGCCAGGAAATGCTAACTGGCCAATGTTGATTAAGCCTATTGGTAGTCATGAGGGGTGGTGGTCCCCAAGGGTAACAGATGCTGCTGCAATGGAATAATCGGCTAAATTCCTCCAAATGTCTGCCCTGGCAGCCAGAACTTAAAAACTCTCAGTCAAACGCTGACCATTGATGCTGAAAGTATCACTCATTCCCAAACAACTATATACAAGTTGTATTGTTTTGAATACAGTCTGTATCTTTTTTGCAACATCTAACAAAGGTTTGTAATTTTGAATATAAAAAGGTGCTTGGTACTAGTACATAAATGTGTAGTAGGTATATAAATACTTGAAATTAGGAATTACAGATTCCGTCTCCATTCTGAACTTAGACCTAAAATAGCACAGACAGCGAAGTTGCACGTTTCTCTCGTTTCTTGGGGTAGATTCCACCTGTTCATCTCTGTCCCTAACATCAAGGACTTTCCAAACACTTTCTCCATCTTAACTTTTCTTGTCTCTTCCTTCTAAGATCCCAGAAGAATCTGAAGCATTGTTTAACCTTCTCAAGGAGGTGCAACTTCGCAGGCAATCTCAGAGTTTTTTTAATTTGTTATTTTATTATTTTTTGCACCTGTAGCTCATCTGCAGGCCTTTTGGGAGTACTGTCAGCTTCTGGAAGGTCTGCAGATGAGCACAGGATTCTAGTGTAGGCAGCTTTTCAACTTCTCTACTGTAAATTCAGCCTGCCTGAAGCTGGCCTGCCCAAGTTTGGTTTGTTACCCCAGGCTACCCCTGTTCCCTGCTAAAATCATAGCTCTCATTCCATTTTCTAGGTACAAGATGGCCAGACATGGAGGGAACACAATGACATTCTAAACTGTTTTTTATGATTGATAAGCATAAGAACTGAAAGGAATAGTGTTATCAGACATGGTTACTGTTTAACAGGAGCTTTGGGGCCTGAATACAAGCGTTAATAAATTGTTGTGCTGGTGATTGTGGTTGAAGTCATTCAGTAAGACTAACCTGGGATGGCAAGCTCTGTCAGTTCAGAGGTGACCCAGAAGAGACAGCACCAAGAATGAGAGCATGCTGGAAAGAGAGGGATAAGGAAGCATCTAGAGAAACGAGGTTCTAAAAACCTCCACTGAGCTCTTGTCCCCAAGATCTCAACACTACCCTACATTAACTGTTACAGTCACCAGGTGTTTTGCTGGGACCAAATTTGTGTCTTGCTAATCTTTCCATTTCTCACAATTCATAGAAGAGCTAAATATAGCCAACTCAAGCAGAATCAGTAAGCAACCATTTATTAAGTTTGGGCTAGGAAATTTCATTATTATGGAAATTCACTGCCAGATTACACATATCTGCAGCAAAAATGCTTTGAGAATTTTTCAACAATCATGAAGATTGTCTGCACATTTACTTCTCCTGTTACATGTTTATTTTAGCGATGTGACGGTGCATGGCAGTCTTAAAGGGAAGAAGTTGTAATCTGAAGGGAAAGGCTACCTGACTGCTGGGAAGCATGAGGAAGCTCTTTGAAGATGGAGCTCTGAAAATTAAGGCTCCTCCTGGTTCTACTCTGCTTCTTGTTTGTAGCTGAAGCAGTGGTTTTTTTCACACCTAATCTCACTTTGCTGTAGAATTAAAATGTTGTTTTCAGCTATTAGGCCCAGAAAGATGAAAAGACAAGGGGTCTTTGTACATGCTAAGGGCCAACTTTGCCTTCATATTGCATTGTGGAGGTGATAAATGAACGGGATTGTGCTTGAGTTCCACTGTGTAGCGAAGCACATCACAGTGACCTCAGGGACAGTTGGGTGTCTTCAACCTGCTCTTGAATGTCTCCCATGCCATGATATCCAGAACCTTCACTAATTTAATATCTATTAAAATGGTTCAATGTCTCTAAATGCTTTAAAAAACAATCCCCAGAGTTTATCTAATGTGAAATCAGAAGAAGAATCTGTCGGCATAGGGTTTGTCCAAATATCTTTAAATAGCAGACTGTTGACAATGACCAGATTCTGAAAATTATTTTCTGCCATCTAGCTGCATCTGAGTGACTTTCTAGAAGACACGATGCTTTGTTCCACTTTGTCCCTCTGCCTCTTGCTGATCACAGTTTCTACCAACCTTGCCATTGCTATCAAAAAAGAGAAGAGACCTCCCCAGACACTCTCAAGAGGTATGACATTCTCACTAGAGTTTGTAAACTCGGTCAATTCAACTGTTCTCAAAAATACCCAATACTTCTCTCTATAGTTTGATTATAAGCAAAAAACTAGATATTTGCTATGTGTGACATTAAAACAGATGTTTCTAAAGGGGGGGTCATCTATTTTAGACAGTAAATAACTAAATTTCAAAGAAATAACAACCCTTGGGTTTGGAGGTGTGTTTTGTTTGCTTGCTCTGCTTTCAAACCTTGTGGATTTGACTGGCTTGGAACCTGTTATGTAGACCAGGCTGGCCTAAAACTCGTAGAGATCCGCCTGCCTCTCTCTCCCGGCATTGGGATTGCAGGTGTGCACCACTGTGCCTGACTAACAGCATTTTGCTGCATCTTTTGTAGATATTATAAAGAACTGGCTTGGTGTCTACAGCTTTGTTTGACTGTAGACACTTGCCTTTTGCTTCAGCTCCAGAAAATCTATTTTTTTTATACTTACAGTTTTACTTTGGTCTAAGAAACAAATAAACCTTCCTATCCAGAAGCATGATGAAGAAACAGTTCTCAAAAGTAGTTTTTATATTTCCAGGGAGGAGAAAAAATTATTTGCCCACACACGATTGATTCAAATAATCGGGATAGCCATGCAGTGCTTGGCGGCTCTTTGGAATGGTGCTCTGAGCAGAGGGAAGAGTGACCCCACCCTGCAGGTGGCTTCCACACCATTAGCTTCTTCGGATCGACAGAACACCAGCTGTGTGTCTGCGTTGTTTACCTAAGTGAATTAATGCAGCTTTAGCCTAGCAATCACAAGCTGTATGTGGAGAAAGGCAATATCTACTGCAAAATAAATAAAGGACAAAGACATTGCCCTGGGAATAATTCAGCACATAGCTCTCCATATAAGCTAAGAGTTATAAAATAAGAAGCTTATTGACCTTGAACAACTCAGGGCCAAACTATCCATTGCCCTTCAAGTTCTATAGTGGAGCTGCTTGGTGTTGCTATAGCTCCCGTCTAAGATGTCACTTTCCTGGGAGCCCATTTAAATGTTGATCAACGGCTCTGCAGCAAGATTTTATTATGTTTGTTGCTTTGTTGGTTTATTCATGTGTCAAGGTCATAACACAACTCGTTGAACATGCTAACTCTATTCTCTCCTTCCTCCATTTGAGTTCCAGAATTCTAGCTCCAGACATCAATTTTGGCAATAAGAGCCTGCCCCTGCTAAGCCATCTTTGCTGGCCTCCTTTTTGGCAACTTTTAATTTTTATGAAAGCCAATTGGAGTACATACAGCTTATTTTGAACAGCCTGGTTCTACTACTTCAGTTATTAAGACACTGTTTTATAGGAAACATGACTACTAGTTAGTGCTGGGAGTCTGTGTGTTGAGAGCTGGGCTGTGTCTGTTGGTCCTTTGGAGATCATTTCTGTTAGAAATGGCAGAAAGGCGGGAGTGGGTGGGAGGAGTGCAGCAGAGACGGGGCCAAATGGTTCAGGGCAGAGATGAGCGTAGAGAAAACAGAAGATAGTGAAGAAAGGACTAGGGTTGAAAAAACACAGAGAGAGAGAGAGAGACCAACACTGCCTAACATCCTAAGGAAAAGGACTAGGGTAAAAAACACACACATATGGAGACCAAGGTTTCCTAATGTCCTTTTTAACCAAAGAATGCTCAGGGCCTGGTCCAGTAACTGACATACAGCAGAAACTCAATAAATGCACAGTAGTAGAATGAACAAAATCACTGAAGACCCAATAGCATCACCAAAGCTGGAGACGAAAGCATAGCCATGAATCCGACCTGAAAGAGAATTTAAATTCTGTTGCATTTGGTCCATAGTAATTATGACCTAGACTGTACAGAAACGGTTATGATACAATATGTTCCCCTGCAGCTCTAAGGATATTTAGGAAGCTATAATTTTTTTTATTCCTGGGGACCAGTGGATTAAAACAGAACAGATGGTTCATTAATGTCTGAGGGACAAAAGTGATCAGGAAATGAGACTGAAATGTTTCCATTGCTGATGCTCTAGTATCTGAGTGACAGTTTCAACAGGTGAGAGGAGCTAGAGACATGGCTCAGCTGTTAACAGCACTGGCTGCTCTTCCAGGGGACCTGGGTTCAAGTCTCAACAACCACAGGGCAGTTCACAATCCTCTATAACTTCAGTTCTAGGGAATCTAATTCTGACCTCCATGAGCACGAAGCACGCTTGGAGTGTGTGTGTGTATATATCTACACACCTGCGAGCAAAGTACCCATATACGAAAAACTTTAAAAATACAAATAAATCTAACAACCAAATACAAGCAAAAAAAGGGAAACTAACCAAGGGGCTGCTGTCATATTTCTAGAGTAAGTTACTGTGAACTGTGCTAAAAGCAACACCCATTCAACTTCCAGGATCATACAGAGAAGACTCCGGGCAGGGTGAGCCAAAACAGCAAAGATGTCTTCCAAGGTTAAGACATGAGATCTAGCACAAGCAAACCTCTTCTCTCGTTGCTGTAGAATGGCACAGTGGCTCTGTGGAACACACCAACAACTCCTCGGAAAATTAAAATACATGCCAGCTGTGGTAGCACCTTTAATCCGAGCACTTGTGAGTTCAAGGTCACCCTGACTCCAGGAGACTCAAAACTACATACAGAAATCCTGTCTCAGAAAAGAAAAAGTTAAAATACAGTTACCATTCAGCTCAGCAATTCCACATCTCCCTAGAATCCCCAAACAACTGAAATGCAGGCACATTCTCATCTGCTCCCTGCAGCAAAGAACTCAAATTCCCATCACCTGATGAGTATATAAAAAGAGGCTTCCCAGTTAGGGTTACTATTGCTGCGATAAAACACCATGACCAGAGAAACTTGAAAAAAACGGTTTATTCAGCTTACACTTCTGTATCACTGTTCACCGTTGAAAGAAGTCAGGGCAGAAACTCAAACGACAGGATCCTGGAGGCAGGAGCTGACGAGGAGGCCATGGAGAATGCTGTTTACTGACTTGCTCAGCGTGGCTTGCTCAGCCTGCTTTCCCATAGAACCAGGACCAACAGCCAGGGCACCACCCAGGATGGGCTGGGCCCTCCCCCTCAATCACTAATTAAGAAAATGCCCTACAGCTGAATCTTACGGAAGCATTTTCTCAATTGAGATTCCCTCCTTTTGGATGATTCTAGCCTGTGTCAAGTTGACATAAAACCTTTGCCAGCATGACACAGACACACATCTCTGGTAAGCCATAAGCACTCCTTCTTGTTCATCCCTAGGATCTCACACTATTACCAACAGCCCAACAAAACACGGTCACAGACCTTGAAAGTTCCACAGTCTTTACAAATTCACTTTAAAATAAATGCAGTCTCTTTTTAAAAAATCCTGTCTCTTTTAAAACCTAAAAGTCGTTTGTTTTTTTTTTTTTAATTCAGTCTCTCAACTGTGGGCTTTTGTAAAATAAAACAATAAATGAAATACTTCCTTACTTCCAGAGGGAAGAATGAGGGTATGGTCAAGATCAGAACAAAGCAAAACAAACTCCCACAGTATAAAGAGGTCAATGTCTAATATCTGTGGTCCGTCCACTCATGGTCTTCTGGGCTCCTCCAAAGGCTTGGGTCACTTCTCCGACTCCGCCCTCTGTAGCACACACAGCTTGTCTTCCAGACTCCACCTGTCTCCCCTCCACTGCCGCTATTGCTCCTGGAAGTCATCCCATGGTGCTGGCATCTCCAAAATACTCTTCTGCTGCAACTGGGCTACACTTTCACCAATAGCCTCTCATGGACTCTCTTCATGGTGCCAATCCTCAAGCTTTCTGCCTGGCCCCTCTCAGCTTTTCAATCCTGGGTCTTCAACTGCCACTGAGGCCGCCCCTTTACCAAGGGCATCTCCTGCCCTCTCACTGTGCCAAGCCTCAACTCTCTTCATGACCCCTCATGCCTTCAAAGCCAGTATCACCTGAGTGACTCTTCCACATGACCAAGTCCAGCCACTAACACAAGGTACACCTTTGGCTGGAATACAGCCACAGGAAACACTTCCTAGAAGATTTCAACTCAGTGATGCTGGTGTCTTCTTAATCACTGCTAATTTCTCAACTCCAAACAACCAGCATCAAGTATCCCAGAAAAGTAAAGATTCCATTTTAGTAGTTCTGTTATCTTGCTAATCATAGCTGATTATGCAGGCCCTGCTAGCCAAAACCACAGATTCTTCACACACACAAAAAAAAAAAAAAAAAAAAAAAAACACAGCAGAGGCTTTGCTTCCCTCTGAAACTTCACAAGCCAGGTAGCCAGGTCTCCCTTGTATGCACTGATCTCAGCTTTCTTATCTTCCAGGTTCCTACAGAACAGTTCACTGAGCCCTCAACACTCAGTGTCATTCTGACCCAAAGTTCCAAAGTCCTTTCACGATCATCCCCAAAGCAACAGGGTCAGGTCTGTCACAGCACTCCCCACTCCTGGTTCTAACCTCCTTCACCGCCTAAGTGTCTCTCCATATCATAGGATAATGTTAAGCCATAGAAAGGTCATTAAGTACTAATACATGAAAGAACACAGATGAAGTTTGAAAACATGCTGAGTGAAATAATTCAATCAGAAAGACTACATACCAGATATTTCCACTTACATGAAATGTCCAGATAGGCAAAGTATGAGCGGGGGACTAGTTTAGGGGTTTCTTAAAGCTTGTGCAGATCTAGAAAACAGAGGGTGGAAGACAGCTACAAAATATAGGGTTTAGGACTGCCTAGAAGGCTCAGCATGGACAAGTCCTTACTGCCAAGGATGGTGACCTGAACTCAATCCCTAGAATCCTCACATTGGAAGGAAAGAGTCCACACCTCGAGTTGTCCTCTGAGCTCTACACTTGTGCCAAGGCCCATTGTGCCTTCCCTACGCAAAAATAAATAGATAAAAAGATGTAATTAGTTTTTTAAAAAGCAGAGTTTACTCTGAGGTGGTGAGAATGTCCTAAAATTGATAGAAGTGCTGGCCTCATGACTCTGGGAATATACTACAAAGAATGTGGACTTTCTATGTGTGAGTTGAATCATATGTGGATAATATATCAATAAAGTTGTTACCAGAGAACAAAAAAAGAAAACAAGAAGAAACACAGAATTGTTTTTCTCTTACTTCATGATTCTGCCTTTGATTATTGCTATTACACACTTGAGTTAGCACCACAGTCTGACATCTGAACACAGGAAACCTTGAGCCGAACCAGCCCCCAGACATTTCTTTCAGGATAATTCAGTCTTTCTCATCCATATTTCAGGCAAGTCCTAAACACTCTGCAATATTCCTGGATGCTCTGTACCTTCTACTTCTTTAGGGCTTTATCCTTTAATCTCTGCTACGAATTCACAACTGCTTTTGTCTCCTTTCTAAGGTCAGTGGAGTCTCTACTGTAGTCACGGCTTTCTCTTTCCCTCTCTTCTACTCTTTGAATGTGTGTGTGTGTGTGTGTGTGTGTGTGTGTGTGTGTGTGGTTCAAATGTGAAATTCTCATCCTTGAATGTTTTTCCAATAGAATTTGGAACTCCTTCCTGTCAATGTGCCCTGTCATAGAAGCAGCCAGCATCCTTTGGTACCCAAGATACAAAGGGCACTTTGTAGTATAGTCCGAAGGACTCTTGGCAATTTTTTAGAAGTATGCTAGCTGTTATTTCACACATATTCTGAAAGTTGGAGCTTTTGCAGGGACAGAGATGTCCTCTCAGCCACCTTCAGCCATCATCCAGCACTGATCAGTACTTTGTAGGTTCAAAGCTGGGTCGAGCTTCAATGTGCTCTCCCAAATCTACCCGGGTACACTTTGGTAGGGCACTGCTTTGTATCCAGATATAACTTATTATCGTTTACACTGCATGCCAGCCGGCAGCTTTGGAGCTGTCCTAGGTCTGCAGGTTGACATTTGCTCATCAGACAGAGACTGGTAACCCTGGAGTAATGCACTGATTTTCTCTCTTCTTCAGGGTGGGGAGATGACATCACTTGGGTACAAACTTATGAAGAAGGGCTCTTTCACGCTCACAAAAGGTAAAGTTCCTCTCAGTTGCTGTTCACGTGCTGTTTCTCATGCCTCATGGAAGACCCAGAAATGGTTGCATGAGCTTCTTCAAGAATGCCACCGTTCCTGCTCTGTTGTGGTATGCTGTGTGACGTCGCAGCTGCTATCAGGACAGTGTTAGAGCTACTGTTCTCATCATTGCAATCAGACCCCTGGCCAGAAGTAATTTAAAGGAGGAAGGATTTATCCTGGGTCAGAATTCAGGGAAAGAATTCATCATTGTGAGCCAGGCATGGCAGCAGAGGAAGCAGTCAGGAAACAGGGTGGGGCCAGAGATGCAGGCCAGATATAACCTATGGGGACTGCTCCCCAGTCCCCACTGTCCCTACCTTCTAATTGTATCACATCTTCACAAAACTGTTCTTCAAGCTGGGGAGCAATTATTCAAACAAAGAATCCCATGTGGAACAAGTCACATTCGGAACATGGTAAATGGTATTCTCTAGCTGCAAAAGCTCTAAATACCTCTGTATGCATTTCCGTATTACCCAGGCAATATGGGTAATTAAATGCAAGACGTATGAGCACGAGGGGTCACTCACTGGACACTATGCAAGCTTACACAGAAAGCAGTTTACAGCAACAGTCCTCCAGCCCGTCCGGTCAGCCAGACACCTCGGGGGGCTTTATTTCACACTCATCTTCACAGTCAATCAGCCAAGTCCTAGCTGAGCATCATCTGGTATGCCAGGCACTGGCCCAGGCTCAGTGACCAAATGTGACATCATTTTTATCCTTAAAGACCTACTAAATCTCCTGGAGAATTTATCAATATCTGATTGATGAATGTTCATTTTCAATTTTCCCATTAAAGTTAAAAATACAGGAAATTAAATGAAAATTGAGTTAAATGCTCTCAAAACTGAATCACTATTACCAAAAAAAAATCTCATTTCCAAATATGAGTGTAAGAAACCACATATGACAAATTATATCCCCAGGACATGTAAAGAACCCACCCAGATAGAGTAAGAGTTCATCTGGAGACTATAGGAAGATCAAAGACTAAGAATTCATCTATTAAAGATGTCAGTATTTAGAGCTGGGGATGCAGCCCAGCTGCTAGGGTTCTGGCAGAGCAGGCAAAAGCCCCGAGTTAATCCCCATAGCCACACAAATGAGTGTGACAGGGCACACCTACGACGCCAGGACTCTGGAGGCAGCTGCAAGAGGACAGTGCAAAGTTATCCCTAGCTATGCAGCAAGTTTAAAGCTGGTCTGAAACCCACGAGACTTAGTGGAAGCAGGCGGACCCCAGGAGCTCACTGGACAGGCAGACTAAGCACACTTCCCGTCCAGTGAGAGACCCAGTCCACGAAAACAAGGTGGAGACTTGTTGGAGGATGACCATAATGTCCTGCTCTGGCCTCTTGCACATACACATACCGCACACAACACTCACGTAGAGAATGCACTACATACACGTACAACACACGAATTTGTCTGTCAAGTGTGTCAAAGAGGATATTAAGAGGGAAGTTTTTAATATTTTGAGGCAAATTAACGTGGAAAGTCAATATACTTAAACTCATGAAATGTACTATAAACAGCTCAAAGGATGAAATTTTCTGAATAAATATCTTTATCTTTCTTATTTGAAAAAAAAGTTCCAAATAATCTAATATTTTACCTTAAAGATACCTTTCATCCCCCCACCCCCAAAGAAAGAAACTAAGGTCAAAGTTAGTATTAGGAAGCACATAGTAAAAACCAGAGCAAACATAAGCAAACAGTAAGCAAGACAATGATGAACAGCACCATACAAATAAAAGCTTTTTTTTTTTTTAACTTTTTACTGTTTTGGAAGAGATAAACCCAACATAGCAGTAAACAAACCAAAAAGAAAACAAAAGAATTCTAATAAAATCAGAATGAAAGGTAGACATGACAATGGTATCCCAGGAGCTGGAGAGATGACTCCATAGGTAAGAGCACTTGCTGCTCTTCCAGAAGACCAGAGTTCAATTGCCAGCCCCCGTGTGCCTGTAACTTCAGCTCTATGGGATCCAGCACCTCCTGGTGGCCTCCCTAGGTACCTGCATGCACACATGTGCACACATGTACACACACACACACACACATGTGCACACATACACAAAAGCAAAAATAAATAAGAAAAACACAACCAGACAAACAAAATGTTATCACTGAAATGGTCACCAGAGACTATTTGAACAACTACTAAGTCAATAAATATTCTAGCAGAAACATAAATTTCCACACTTGATGGAGGAAGGTCATTGGCTAATAAAGGCACTGCCCTGGCCCATTTTATTGGTTAGAGGATAGTTGGGAGGAGTAAACAGATCAGAACGCTGGGAGGAAGAGGAAGTGAGCTCAGAGACTTGACAGCTCTCCTCTAGGAAGCAGACGCCTGAGAGAGATGCCATGCCCCACTCCCGGGATGAAGCTCCGACCCAGAATGGACATAGGCTAGAATCTTCCCGGTAAGCGCACCTTGGGGTGCCACACACAGATGATTAGAATGGGCTAAATTAATATGTGAGAATTAGCCTAGAAGAGAATGGGCCAAGCAGTGTTTAAAAGAATACAGTTTCCGTGTAATTATTTTGGGGCATAAGCTAGCCGCTGAGCAGGCAGCCGGGGTGCTGGGGACGCAGCCCCGCTGCCCCTACTACTTCACACACTTCCTATATACATAAAACCATCGAGATTTAATCGTGAATAGAGAATGTGAACAGACCAGTGAAGAACTTTTATTCATAATTTTAAAAGCAAAGGCCAGTCTCTGACGGTTCTAAAATTTTGTTTGTTTTTGAGACAGCATCTCCTGCATCCCAGCTGCCCTCGAGCTGTGCTTCCGCCTAAGCTCCCCATACACTGGTTTTACAGCTGTGTGCTAACACTCCCTGCTGCCTGATAAACTGTTAGAGAACCAATTTATCTAAGGAGTAGCACTATTTGAAAGGATTAGAACACATGGCCTTGTTGGAGGAAGTGTGTCACTGGCAATGGGCTTTGAGGTTTTAAATGCTAAAGCCAGGCCCAGTGTCTATTTCTGCTGCCTGTGGACCCAGACGTAGAACTCTCAGTTAGCTCTCCAGCACCGTGTCTGCCTGAGTGCTACCATGTTTCCCACCATGGTGATAATGGACTAAACCTCTGGATCTACAAGTCAGCCACAATTAAATGGTTTATTTTAAAAGAGTTGCCATGGTGTCTCTTCACAGCAATAGAAAATTGACTAAGACACTCTTGATGAACACAAATGGAAAGACCCTTAACAACATCCTAGCAAGTAGAATCAAATAGCATGTTAAAAACATCATTAGCCATGGTTGAATAGGACTTAATCCTAGAATGTAAGATTAATCAATATTTGTTAATAAGTATGGTACCCCATAATAGCAGAATGAAAAATCACATGATCTCTCAGTAGCTACTGAGAAGCATCTGTCAGAGCTTAGCATCAACGCACAGCAAACTAACTCCAGAAGGCGGACCCTCGGCAAGAGAACCGTATGACCTTAGGTCACGTGCCCAGTGGAGACAGGTTGGAAGCTTTCCTCTGAGAAAAAAGGATGGGAGAGTCACTCTCACCGCTTCTCCTTCCACACAGTACCTGAGGACGAACTGAGCAGCCTAACCAAGCAAGACAGAAACGTAAAAGGCCGCATGAGAAAGGTAGAAATTAAATCATCCCATGTGCACAGGAAATGATTGCATACATAGAAAGTCCCCAGGGCTGTTAGCGCTCATAAAAGATCTCAGGTATAGTGGTCATAAAGATGAATAGGTAAGTAAACACAAGACACCGATATTTCTGATTGCATGGCTTTTCTGCTTAACCAAGAGACATATGCAATGAGAAAGGACAAGGACCAAGGAGTGGGGAGGGAGGGAGCATATGTCACAAGAATAAATTTCTCTGACATGAAGTCTTCTTTAAAATTAAAAAAGAAACCTCAAGTCAACACAAAGAAATGAGTGAGGGATATAATAGTCAAGAACAAATGGTTACTCCTGGAACAGAGGCAGAGCACTACTTCATGTGAAGGTAAAATGGCAGTGATCCCTTTTCCTCTTGCACACTGGGGGAAATAATTTAAAACTGCTGACTCACATTTTAGTGTTCACAAATTGATGTGGGATTCCCCTCTGTATTCTATGATTATGTTTTATTACCATTGGTTAATAAAAGAAGCTGCTTTGGCCTATAGCAGGGTAGAATACAGGTAGGTGGGAAAACTAAACAGAATACAGGGAGAAAGAAGGTGGAGTCAAGGAGACGCTATGTAGCTGCCAAAGGAGAAAGATACCAGGACCTTGGTAAGCCACAGCCTCACAGTGATACACAAATTAATAGAAATGGGTTAATTTAAGATAGAAGAACTAGCTAAGAATATGCCTGAGCTGTTGGCCAAAAAGTGCTGCAATGAATATAGTTTTTGTGTGATTATTCAGGTGTAGGCGGCTGGGAAGTGAAAGCACAGTCTCTGTTTACAACAAATGAAAGAAAAAAACCTCTTTCCCCACGCCCCCCCCCACATCCTGTATATAGCTTCTTCTACATGATAATGGCATAGTTAAGTCCTGTGAACGAAAATGTGGCCACAAACCCACAGATATTTATTCTCTTCTACTGGAGAAACACAACCAAACAAAAATTTGAAGCCTTGTTTTAGAATGTAGCTGCTTCAATTTCTGCCATAGTCTCTCTGTTTTTATTCCAAAGGAATAGCAGCTCATTTGTGAACTCCTAAGAATAAGTCCTCCATGTAACTGATGTACGTTTTCCCTTGGATTCTAATTGCTGTGATCTGATGCTGCAGGTGGATTTCCCCAGACTTCCCTCAAGCACCTTCCAGAAGTGCAGCTGTGTTAGGTAGAAGCTATTGGTTAGTTCCCAGCCTCCCAGACCCAAAATTAAGACACAGAAACTATATTGTTACACTGTTTGGCCAATAGCTTAACCATATTTCTAGCTAGCTCTTAGATCCTAAATTAACCCATTTCTATTATTTTATATTTTACCAAGAGGCTTGTAGTTTACTGGTAAGGTTCCGGCAGTGTCTGTCTCCTTCGGCAGCTACCTGACATCTCCCTGACTCTGCCTTTTCTTCCAGCATTCAGTTTAGTTTTCCTGCCTAGCTCTATTCCGCTCTGCCGCAGGCCAAAGCAGATTCTTTATTAACCAACGATAATAAAACATATTCACAGCATACAGAGGGGAGTCCCACATCACTGCTGCCCCTTCAAGATGTCTTGTAGGTGCTGGGAAGAAATGGCAGCCAATCAGGAAAGCAGAGTGCCCATGCCCCTGCCTGCAATGCCTCAGGACGCCTACTCTCCCTCACACTCTATCAGAAGAGCTATCTATATAGAAAACTTACTCAGCTGATGTGTACAAGGTTGAGCATGGGCCTGCCTGTGAGAATGTAATTAATCATGTTCAGCTTATGTGGGCTGACTCCAGCTTGACCTGCCTGTGTAAGCCTCATTGAATACCTTTAGGCTTAGCTTGCTGCTCACAAAGAATCGGGTGTGACATTTTGTTCATTGTAGCTCGAATCTGCATCTTTTCTAATGTCTGATGCTGGCGAATGGTAGCTTTCTAATTAGCTCATAAATCCTAAAGGTAAGTTGGAAAGGTCTTATTAAAATGTACTTCTAATCCAAGTTGGGGAAGTAAATAAAATTAATCATTTAATGTTTGTGTTTAACATTTACCAAGACTAAAAATTGTTGGATACAGCATAGATTTATGCAATCACTGAATTTATATACTTATATTTGGTAACTGCTTTTGAAAAGATTTATACTGGCCTAGGAATGTAGCCAACTAATAGAGTGTTTGCACAGCATATCCAAAGATTGGTTAACAGCATCGCCAAATTAATCAACTAATACATAACAATTTTTGTTGAATAGATATGTCTTAAAATCACTCGCTTTTGATGCCCATGACTATCTTATTATTAAAGCCACATTTGAAAAAATAATCCTATATATCTGTGTTAGTCAATTTTCTGTTGCTATAATAAAAATATATGAGACTGGGTAATTTGTGAAACCAAGAGGTTTACTTAGCTCTAGAAATTCGAGAGCACGGACATTAATATCTACCTGGCTCTGAAGAGGCCTCATGACAGATGGCATCGCAGGTTGTGATTGTCTGCAAAGAGGATTAAACGCTTCCAGCATTGCCGCAATGCATTCTTGTGGAAACTAGTCCAGTGCCAGGAGACCAGGTCCTCTCCCAGGAGACACATTGATAATCTTGAGGAAAGAGCCATTATCTACCCTTGTTATTATCTACAGAGTCATTAGCCACCTTCCTACCCTTAAACTTTCCACTGTTTGGTCATCCCACTGGGACCCTGCTTCTACCTCCAGAACCTTCGGAGTAAAGGTGAAGCCTAAACCGTACGGATAGCCACGCTCTAATCATTTTACCCCTCTCTAGTCACTGTGCTCACTTTACTCTTCGACTAGACTGAGAAGCAAATGGGTTAGTATAAATAATTCACAGTTGAAATCAAAATGATCCTGAAAATATATTGGTGGGGGTTTCGCTTGAGTTATTTGTAAATTTAGGTTAGCACATGAATGAAGGGCTAGGATACTGGTCAAATAAGGCGATCTTGTAAAAACTTAGGCGATAAACCAGGAATATTTTAGGTTGACTGTCCTAAAATCATATATCATGTTTCATTACACACAAATTTTATGTATAGCATCCCTTGGGTCCTGGAGGTAGCATTGTTCTCTAGCTATCTACACATGCCATAGAGGACCTAAGTACCACTTGCCACTCTCAGTATAGTTCCTGAACCCCACTCAGATTCTGACTCGCTGCGTTATGAAGCCTGTGAGCTGGTGTTTATAATATGGTACTTGGTAAGATCTGGGGCCACATACTACCTAATGTAGGCTTCATTCCCATGAAGTATGAGTCTGGTATTTTTATTTAATATTGTCAATAGTACCAAGAGTACCAAAATTTTAAAACTAACCTTCTTCTATAATTTTATTCATCATTAACCTCTTAACTTCACTCTGTGATCCCTCTGTCTAGTAACAAGCCGCTGATGGTTATTCTCCACCTGGAAGACTGCCAATACTGTCAAGGTAACTTTAGCTACTGGGATCTTCCTCCGTATCCAGCACAAGGTAGAAGTGAGCTCGTGAGAACTGTTCAGAAGGCACACAGGCAAACCCCATTTTAGAAATGTCATTCCCAGAGTAGCATCATTCTACAAATATGCTTAAAGATCCAGTGAGAGCCACCTAGGGGCGCACTCTGGTAACTGCAGCGGGATTGTGAGTCAGAGGTAAACCCAGGCTCAGTTACAGTGAAACACAGTCCACACAAAAGATTATAATTGTTCATATCTGTGGAATGTGAAATTATGATATGCTCCTTGGACTCTGATACCCACTTCTTAAGAGAATCAAAGTGATTATGACAACTTGCTGGCAGAAATTGTTCTAACCAATGAGCTACTCAGAAACATAAGTAATAAAATCAGTGTGTTCACAAATATCATTGTCCCTTGACGTCTCCTTGGACATCCTCCAGTCCATTGCTTCCCAGAGAGGAACTGAATGGTAAAAAGACAGCAAACCATTTACACCCATGACATTGATGTAAACAGGAGAAAAACATACTAATTTTGATACCATATTGACAATGTCTTGACCCTTTAAACTAACTGACATTTTGTTCTCCCTCACAGCACTAAAAAAGGAATTTGCCAAAAATGAAGAAATACAAGAAATGGCTCAGAATAGCTTTATCATGCTGAATCTCATGGTACGTGAAGTCCACAGTGTTTTTTAATATCATAACTTCACAGGAATTTTTAACTCTTCTTTATTCCAAACATTCAGGGTCAAGTACTAGTTACTACAGAAGTTTAAAAAACCCTGATGTATAATTTTCAGAAAATTTAGCTTCCATACAGAATACTCCACAGTCCAATATTGTTCATTAATTTCATCTGCTTCCAGCATGAGACCACGGACAAGAACCTATCTCCTGATGGGCAGTATGTGCCAAGGATCATGTTTGTTGGTACGTGTGCCACTCCGTCTGTCACTTTTGCAAAACCAGAAGGACTCTCCATGTTCTCGCTTTCATTTGGCTTTCTTGGAGGCTCTAACTTAAGCAATATTTTTATTGATTTTATTGAGCTATACATTTTTCTCTGTTCCTCTCCTTTTCTCTCTCCTTCCCTTTAATCCTCTCCTTTGTCCCCATGCTCCTAATTTACTCAGGAGATCTTGTCTTCTTCTGCTTCCCATGTAGATTAGATCCATGTATGTCTCTCTTAGGGTCGTCATTGTTGTCTAGGTTCTCTGGGATTGTGATTTGTAGGCTGGTTTTCTTTGCTTTGTGTCTAAAAGCTACTTATGAGTGGGTACATATGATATTTGTCTTTTAGGGTCTGGGTTACCTCACTCAATATGTCTGCAAATTTCAAGATGTCATTATTTTTTCTGCTATGTAGTGCTCCATTGTGTAAATGTACCACATTTTCCTTATCCATTCTTCAGCTGAGGGGCATTTAGGTTGTTTTCAGGTTCTGCCTACGATGAACATAGTTGAGCACATGTCCTTGTGGTAAAATTGAGTATCCTTTGGGTATATACCCAAAAGTGGTATTGCTTGGTCTTGAGGAAGGCTGTTTCCTAATTTTCTGAGAAATCGCCACACTCCCATCAGCAATGCAGGAGTGTTCCCTTTACCCCACAACCTCTCCAGCATAAACTGTCATTAGTGTTTTTTATCTTGGCCATTGTTACAGGTATAAGATGGAATCTCAGAGTTGTTTTGATTTGCATTTTTCTGATGACTAAGGATATTGAACATTTCCTTAAGTGTTTTTCAGCCATTTTAGATTCCTCTGTTGAGAGTTTTCTGTCTAAGTCTGTACTCCATTTTTTATTAGATTATTTGTTCTTTTGATGACTAATTTCTTGAGTTCTTTGTATATTTTGGAGATCAGAGCTCTGTCTGATATGGGGATGGTGAAGTTCTTTTCCAATTCTGTAGGCTGTAGTTTTGTTTTGTTGACCATGTCCTTTGCTTTACAAGAAGCTTCTCAGTTTCAGGAGGTCCCATTTGTTTCTCTCAGTGTCCGTGCTACTGGAGTTATATTTAAGAAGTGGTCTCCTGTGGCAATGCATTCAAGTGTACTTCCTACTTTCTCTTCTATGAGGTTCAGTGTGGCTGGCTTTATGGTGAGGTCTTTGATCCACTTGGGCTTGAGTTTTGTGCATGGTGATAGATATGGATCTATTTTCATTCTTGTATATGTTGATATGCAGTTATGTCAACACCATTTGTTAAATATGCTTTCTTTTTTCCATTTTATACTTTTTGCTTCTTTGTCAAAAATCAGGTGTTTGAAAGTGTGTGGATTAATATCTGGGTTTTCAATTCAATTCAATTGTTTCTCCTGTCTGTTTTTATGCCAATACCAGGCTGTTTTCAGTACTGTATCTCTGTAGTAGAGTTTGAAATCAGAGATTGTGATGCCTCCAGAAGTTCTTTTATTGTACAGGATTGTTTTGGCTATACTGAGTTTTTTGCTTTTCCATATGAAGTTGAGTGCCATTCATTCAAGGTCTGTGAAGAATTTCGCTGGGATTTTGATGAGCATTGCATTGAATTTGTAGATTTTTGTCTGACTGCCCTGTACAGTGGTGAGAGTGGAGTGTTGAAGTCTCCTACTAATGGTGTGTGGGGTTAATGAATGATTTAAGCTTTAGAAGTGTTTCTTTTACATATGAGGGTGCCCTTGTATTTGGGGCATAGATGTTCAGAATTGAGATTTCCTCTTGTTATAACCCAAAATAAATTAAAAGAGATCCATGAATTTCCAAACAGGAACTTTGAGCTAAGACATCACGAATTCACATGATGAACACGAACTTGGCTTATAAATTTGCTCACCTTAGTTTTAGAGCAGAGAGAAGAAACAGCTTTAAGAACTTGCTAAGTAATGTTTGAGTGACTTTGTTTGGGGTTGTTTTTTTTTTTTTAACAGACCCTTCTTTGACTGTCAGAGCTGATATAACTGGAAGATACGCTAACAGACTCTACACGTATGAACCCCAGGACTTACCTTTGTGTGAGTATTCATAAATTACCCAGGTAGACTCTGACTACCAAGGGTCAAGAGTGGCTCTTATCAGTGCTGTCCACAATTCAATCTGTGATGCTGAGAATCTGGGTATGGTGTTTAAATTGCAGCCTCTCAGGACTCACAAAAAAAAAATACAAAAAACAAGAATAAACAGAACTTCCTATGATCACTGAATCATGAGATCAATAAGAACTTCGCACAAATCAAAATGACACAAACATTAACAGAGATAAATAACTATCTCCAGGTGTCAAAGACCCCACATGCTCTTCTCAGATAACAATAATGGAAATTTGGCAGTCTTAAATGACCTTAATAATGAGGTACAAATTTACTAAGACTTTAACCATAGCATTTACTATCAGCCATATTTAAGAAAATAGTATTGGTCTCAGATCCAGCAATACCAAATAAATTCAATAGCTAACTAAAAATAAAACCCTTTCAATGTTCCCTTAATAGAACTGCTTATTATAAGTAAATTTGATGAGCCAATACTGATTGGTGTAATCACTGAATTTACAAATATTCTTTTAGCATAGAATACAATATGCTAATGAGCCAACTAAGACAAAAATTAAACAATCCAACTTTGCATGTTACCATTTAGGTTATAGCATCCCCTACTTTCACTTACTAAGGGCACAACATGTGTTTCCTCTTATTTCAGTAATAGACAACATGAAGAAAGCACTAAGACTCATCCAGTCAGAACTGTGAGGAACGATGGAAGAAGGTGCTTCAGCTCTATGAGGTCCAAAGCGTGACAAAAACCTCCAGCTCGCTAGCAAATGCAATGTTCAAGCACATGGATTTTGTAGCATTGCTATTATGATTGGTGACATATCCGTGATAGTTTATGGAGGTAAACTTGAATTTTAATAAATGTTAAAATGTGTGATGTTGCTGTAGTTTGATGTTTACTGATACCACTAGCCATGACAGCTTGACCTGACCTCAAGGTTACTACACTCTGCATATGAAATGTCCCCACTGCCTCATGCTTTGAAGACTTGGTTCTCAGGTAGGAAAGAAGTTCTGTAAAATGTGGGATGCAGCTAGAGATTATAAATCATGATGGTAGCTCACTGAGGGAATCTTGCCCCCACTGCCTTCCTATCTTGTTCTCTACTTCGTGTGGACCACGAAGAGGAGCCTTTGCCACACACTTGCCCTCCTCTTGCTCTCTTGCTCCTGGCTTCGCTTCTGGCTACTAGACTCCTTTCCTGATCATGCAGAGGGCTGTTGTCTTGGACGGTGGTCTGTAAGTTTTTCCCCTTTAAATATATAACAATTCTGTTAATCATAATTCCAAACTGGTATGGGATTGTTTGTGACCTACGCCTTCAAAATATACACTGTCTAGTACACAAGCCTGATTGTCCCCAAATTTGATGATGTAGGTGTCATTTGTTCTCCATCCTATTGGTTTTAAAAAACCTTTAACAAACTGATTTACTTGGATATATATAGGTTGCATGACTTTTGGCACTATGTATCCATGTAACCTATGAATATAAATACACTCCCCCAAATCAGAGAAGACCAGTGCATTTTAATATTAGAATTTATTTAAAAATTGTTTAAGCAATAATTTGAATTTAATATAAATTAAAAATAAGAAGTAAAATAAAGACGAGATATTTAATATTTTTTCAGCAGATAAAGATTAAAGTAATATCATTGATTCCATTGCTGAATACACAGGAAAGAGTGAGAAAATGTCAGTAGTCATTTGCTGTGACCTACAGAAGAGATTCATTGACACCTTAGTTTCAGTAAATATATATATTATTATTTTGTAGTAATTATACTAGTAAATATAGTTTTAGAATCTTTTATTTCCTCTAAACTATTTTAATTTTTAAACTCTGTAGTCTAGTCAATGTTTCTGTTTAACATCGTCACTTCACAAGATGAATTCCTTTGATCCAACCACTACATTTGCTCCTACATAGGGTTAGAATTACACATTAGCATCTGGGGGTGGGACGCTGGAGGAAGGTGCATGCAAAACCTCTTTCCAATTATCTATGTCTATAACTTCCAAAAATTACTATTTCCTGACATACTTAACATTAAGAAACAATTATAATAGGTACCAATATCAGCTCTTTGATGTGCAATGCTTTGTGAGTGGAATTTGTATACAGGACCTTTCAAAACTCATCTGCACTACCAAGAGATATGATAGTCAAAAAGTTAAACATCCCAATTGATAACTACACTGTTGTGTACTAAGGTATAGTCACCCGGGTTAAATTTACATAAGCTGCCCTTCCAATGGATACATCTACAGAGCTACTCCTACACCTAAAGGCTCAGGAATCCTTGCAGAAGAGGGGGTAGAAATGTTGTAATAGTCAAAGGATCAGAGAGTTTGCTGTGAGATTGTGTCTCCTGGGAATGTCAAAAACTACACCCGTAAAGTCTCACCAACATGAATGCCAAAACAAGAGTTGAACAAGGACAGCAAGCATGCACAACTTGAAGGGGAAACCCCATGAGGTCTCCAGCCTACATAAAGTACTACAGATATCTAAGGAAAGCTGAGAGCAGGAGAAATAGTCTTCCCCAGGTGAGAGCATCAGTTGGTTAGCCAATACCAACTAGTCAGTTAAACACATAAATAGAAAAACATTGTGCATACTGTGCAGATTGCACTTATGTATGTAGGAATATGTGTGTGTGTGTGTGTGTGTGTGTGTGTGTGTGTGTCAACAATTAATGAAAAATAGAGGCCACGAATTTTAGGGAAAACAAGGAGGGGTATATGGGAGGGTTTGGAGGGAAGAAAGAGAAGGGGAGATGGTGTAATTATATTAAAATCTAAAAAAATAAAAGATATAACTTTTCTCCTTTATTAAAAATAGATGGTTTTCATGTAATATATTCTGACTACCATTTCTCCTTCCCTCTACTTCTAATAGTTCCTCCCCACTTTTTCCCCCATCTGGTTCCTCAGCCTTTCTGTCTTTCCTTAGAAAACTAACAGACATCTAAGGAATATTAAAATAGAATATAGAATAAGACAACCAAGCAATAAAAAGAGCCAAGGAAAAAGCACAAGGAACACATATAGATGCAGAGACACACTTTTGCACACACAGGAAACCACAAAACTGGAGGCCATGAAATCAATACAAAGGACAAGTGCGATTTAAAAAACAAAAAGCTCCCTGTGGAAGTTTCAATGTGATTGGTTCCCATAATCTCAAAGAGAATGGCAGTATAGGAGATGTGACTTTGCTGGGGAAAGTAGGTAACTGTAGTGACAGGCAATGAGGTTTCCTATGCTCAGGATGCTGCTCCGTGTCTCAGTCGACTTCCTGCGACCTGCAAGATGTAGCTCTCACAGCTCCTTCTTTATCATGCCTGCCTGCATGCCGCCCTGCTTCCAGCCATGATGATAACGGAATGAAGCTCTGATGCTGTAAGCAAGCAGCCCCAATTAAATGTTTACTTTATGAGAGTTGCTGTGGTCATGTTGTCTCTTCATAAGAATAGATACCCTAAAACACTCCCTAACAACATCATGTGACAAAGAACCTCCAAAAACGCCATTAGGTTAGTTTTCTGTTGGTTATCTACTGCTGGGAATCAGACCTACCCCTAAGAGTGGATTGTTTTCCCAGTGAGACTCCCTTGGAGAGACCTAAATTATCCTTTATAACTATTTGTCAGTCAGAGGTAGTGTCTCTGTCAGAGATGAGGGTGCTTGTCCACTTCTTCTTTCAGGATCCCATTTGGTTCCGTGAAGGCTCTGTGTGTGGGGCTTCAGTGTCTGAGTTTGTATGTGCACCAGTCCTGAGTCCAGAAGGCCTTGATTCTCTGGGGTCCTTAGTTTTCTCTCACTCTTACGTGCTTCTGTCCCCTCTTCTGTAGAGTTCCCTGAGCCCCAACAAGGGTGATTTGATGAACACATCCCTTTGGGGGATGAGAGTTCCAAGGCCTCTCAGTCTCTGCGTACTGTCAGGCTGTGGGTCTCTGTATTTGCCTTCACCTGCTGCAATAGGAGGCTTCTCTTATGATGGCTGAACAAGGCACTGATTTATGAGTATACTAGAACGTCACAAGGAGTTGTTGTATAGCAGTGTTCCTTTAGCAGAACAGTGGTATTTGGTCTCAGGCTCTTGGCCACCCCAGTAGCATCTCATGGTTTCATCTCATGTAGTGGATCTTAACCCGAGCACATGTTGGTTGGCTACTCCATAAGCTCTGGGCCACTCTTACACCAGTGTATTCTGCAGGCAGGACATTATCATAAATCACAGAGATTGTAGCTGGGTGTTTGCCTTTCTCCTTTGGCAGCATGAAGTGTACGTTCCAGTCCATAGGGATGAAGGTTCAATGTAGGCACCAGTTCGACTTCTCCATGTTCAATGAGTGTGTGTGTGTGTGTGTGTGTGTGTGTGTGTGTGTGTGTCTTCAGCAATGGGGTCTTACTGTTATTTTGTGGAGAGTCCGCTGATAGCCTTGGCTGTATCCTGGGTTATTTAGGGGATCCTATGGGACCCTCTTGGCTAAGAACTCAATCAGGTGTAACCCATTCCTGGTACTGGAAGCTTTATTTGGTAACAGGAGATATCCACTTAGGCTCTGCCTCCCTTGCTATTTGGCAATTTCATTTAGATCATCTTCATATGTGTATATATATCAAGAATCTTCTACTATATCAGGTCTCCATATGACCCTTCACATGACCCTTAGTTTTAGCCATCTCTTCCTGTATTCCCTCCCTCATCTCCTCCCCTTCCCCATCCCTGTTTGATCCTCCCGTTCCAGTGCCCTCTTGTCCATCCAGAACTACCTAATCTGTTTCCTTTCCTAGGGAGATCTACCCTCCCCACACCACCATACCCAGCCCCTAACTTCCTTTCTGATCTCAGGGGTCGTGTGGATTGTTGCTTGCTTATCAATGACTTAACAGCTAACATACACATATATGCTAATGCATACTATATTTATCTTTCTGGGTCTGAGTTACCTCACTCAGGATGATTTTTTCTAATTCTATCCATTTACCTGTGAGTTTTATGATTTCATTTTTTAATGATTGAGTACTATTTCATTTTATAAGTGTGTTACATTTTCTTTGTCCATTCATCAGCTAGTGAATATCTATATTGTTTACAATTTCTAGTTATTATGAATAGAGCAGCAATGAACATGTTTGAGCATGTATCTTTGTGGTAGAATGAAATGTCCTTTGGGTATATGTGAAGAGTAATATAGCTGGATATATTTTTTAATTTTAATTTATTTTTTAATTTCATTTTACATTCCATCCACAGTTTTCCCCCACCTCTTCCCCCACCACCCTCATCTCTCTTCCAATCTTCCCCTTCATCCACTCCTCCCAACAGGTAACAACTCCCATGGGAAGTCAACAAAGTCTGGCACATTAAGTTAGGGGAGGAACAAGCCCCTCCCTTCTGTATTAAAGCTGAACAAGGCATCCCACCATAAATAATAGACTCCAAAAAGTCAGTTCATTGAGCATATACCCAGTCACAAAACAAATCTTAACAGATACAAAAAAAATTGAAATAATCCCCAATGCCTTATCAGATCACCATGGCTTAAAGTTAGAATTCAACAACAATACTAATTGCAGAAAGCCCACAAACTCATGGAAACTGAACAAATGATTAAAAACTCAATGTAATTCCACTAAAATCAGAAACAAAACAAGGCTATACAGTCTCCCTATATATATATATATTCAATAAAGTACTTGAAATTCTAGCTAAAGTAGTAAGACAGCACAAGGAGATCAGGGGAATACAAATTGTAAAGGAAGAAGTCAAACTATCATGATTTTCAGATGAGACGATAGTATACATAAGTGACCCCAGAAACTCTACCCGGGAACTCCTACAGCTGGTAAAC